CAGATCTCCCCACCCCCCCCCCCCGATAGCTAGCAATCCAAAACAGTCCAGTGGCACCTTTAAGACCAAGTTTTATTCAGGTACAAGCTCTCTCTCCTCTCCAGTGGAGCCTGAGCGGTGGGTGTTGCCTTCTGACACACTTCCGGTGATGTCAGGGGGTGTGGCATATGCAAATAAGTTATGCTAATGAGCTCCTGCACCTCTTTTTCTATGAAATGACCCCTGCCAAGATGCATCTGCATCTCATTAATGACAGTTTAACCACCTCCTCTGTTCCCCAGTGTGTGGTGGTGGAAAGTGCCATCAAGTCACAGTTGACTTACGGTGACTCCATAGGGTTTTCAAGGCGAGAGGCATTCAGAGGTGGTTTGCCATTGCCTCCCTCTGCTTCACAACCCTGGTATTCCTTGTTGGTCTCCCATCGAAATACTGGCCAAGGCTGACCCTGCTTAGCTTTTGAGATCTCATGAGACCGGGTTAGCCTGGGCCACCAGCCACAAAATCCTACCAGATCACATGTGCAAAGTTATTTGGCATTGTCTGCCAAGACCTAGGATAGGGCTAGGATAGCAGAAGGGAGATGTGTACCAGCGTGCTGTGGGTGGACACTAAGGAAGACATGTGCCCAGGCTGGGAGGGATTAGTAATCCTACCATTTTGCTAACTCACGCAAATGGACAGCCAAAGGGGACACTGACCACAGTGCAAAGCTCTGATCGCATCTGAGAACTTCACTTTTCAGCTTATTGTTTTTTTAATGATTTTATTATATGGTCTTTATTTTGTGGTGTGTCTTAAAGCAGCATACATGCTGTCTAAATAAATAAATTGTATTTAATCCGCTTTCAATACACCAACACCTCTTCGCTTCCTTGCCCCGTGCTAGCAAATACCCTTCAAGTGCATTCATATCCTCCAGATTTTCAGACAAAAAACTTCATTAGGACCGCTAAGGGTTACAGTTCTGGGATAACTCCAGGTCACTTATCATTGGCCTCCAGACCACAGAGATCAAAATGGAAGTCCTGGAGTGACATCACTTCCCCCCTGAGCTACCTGCTCTCCAAAACTCCGCTCTCCCTAGGCACAGCCCTCAAATCTCCAGGAATTTCCCAAGCTGGAGCTGGCAACCCTACCAATGGGACCTCTCTAAGCACCTCAAGACAGACAGATGAGGGTTTACATTCAAGGAGAGGGGATGTGCAGGAGTACTTTGTTTTCGAGGAAAAGACCAATATCAAAACCAGAATGCTGGATTTGCTGCAGTAGGCCTGGTTCGCTTTAGGAGAGAAAATGCCACTGGAGAGATCATCATCATGTCAGTGCCAATCACCTGTTATTTGGCGGACGAGTGGGCAAACCTGAAATTGTTCTCCCAGATGATTGTAGAAGACAACCCTGATCCTCCTGGGTCTGAACTGAATACAGCACACATAGCACCCCAGCGGGGCAAAAAACAGCTTCAGAAAATGGAGTGGGGGGGGGGGCTGAAGCCCCTCCTCCACTACACTGTGGCTTTGATCTAAACTGGGCCCCTGCTGCCCTTCAGAATTGAAAAGTAGTGGAGTTCCCCAGCGCCGCCACAGTACTTCCGCCATATCGCTATGTTACCCTCACAATGTTTAGTAAAGGTAAAGGTTTCCTCTGCTCAAAAGCCAGTCGAATCTGACGCTAGGGATGCGGTGCTCATCTCCATTTCCGAGCCGAAGAGCCAGCGCTGTCCAAAGACATTTCTGTGGTCATGTGGCCGGCATGACTAGACGCCGAGGCGCACGGAATGCTGTTACCTTCCCACCAAAGCGGTACCTATTTATCTACTTGCAATTTCTTGCTTTCAAACTGCTAGGTTGGCAGGAGCTGGGACCATAGACGGGAGCTCACTCCATCAGGCAGCACTCAGGTCTCAAACTGCTGAACTACAGACCTTCCCGTCTGCAGTTCAGCATCTTAACCACTTGAGCCACCACATCACAATATTTACCGCCCCCTTAAAACTCAAACATGAAGGCTGTAAATAGAAAGCCCCTCCATCAGCTCCCCCCTCCTCAGTTCCTTATGACCCTTCCCCACCCCTCTGCAGATCTCCTTACTGAGGACATTCTACAGAATGCACAGCTTTAGAACCTAACTGCATGTTATGTTTTCCCTGGATCCTTCGATCAAAGGTGTATTTAGCGCTCTGTGCTAGGTTTGCCAGGTCCTACCCATCTGCCAGCGGGTTGATCGACCGTTCTTCCTGGGAGTGTCTGCGCACACAACACAATGACATCACCCAGAAGTGACATCACTGCACTGCCAATGTTGCTCTAACGACACTCTAATTTTGGGGCAAAACTCTATGGTTTGTGCCTGATTTTACCATAGAGTTTTGCCCAAAAACTAGAGTGTCGCCGTACGATGTCGTCTCCACGATGATGTCACTTCCGGATGATGTCATCACACCACATTTTGAGGCATTGGGTTCCCCCCCACTGGCCAGCGGTGGGGCAGAGCCCACAAATGTGGGGGAACCCCAACCCGGACCAGAGTTCTGGCAACCCTATATCTGTGCTGGGAATCCCAGGCACACATAGGCCCAGTGTGGATTGGGATCACAGTGCGTGAGGAGAGGGGGGCTTAAGAATTCCCCTTCATGCTCTTTTTCCCAATCTGAAACTGCCCTGGTGATGCTATTTATTTATCTAAAACATTTCTATGCCACCTTCCCTTCCAACTAAGGTCCCCAGGGCAGCGAACATCGAAACACTAAAACAACATATAAAGTATATATAAAATAATTTAATAAATATACACACACACCACCACCACCAAAACCAGGGAGGAGGGCCAATCAGTGTTATTAGGGGAGTGCCAAACAAAAGAAGAATATTCACCCACTGGCAGAAGACAAGAAGAGAGAGAGAGACAGAGACAGAGAGAGATCTCCCTGGAGAGGGAGTTCCACAGTTTCAGTGCCATGACAGAGGAGGCCCTTTCTCAGGTTGATACCCATCTAGCCTCAGGTGGCAGGGGCACCCTCACTGGAGAAATAAGTGTATCCTATCAGGGCACATGGAACCCCCCCCCCCAAAGAGGGAAGTAGCAGCCACTTCAGGGACATTCCAGGTTGGAAAAATGATATTGTGGGGAGGGAAGGATGAAGCCCTGTCTACCTGCACACCATGGTCCCAATCCAAACTGGGCCCACTTAATGCCTGGTATTAAATTCCCAGCACAGAACTCACAATACATCTTTGACTGTGCAGATCAGGGAGGACCCGGAGAAAAACATAATGTCTCTTTAGGCTATTGGTTCAATAAAATTCCACAGAACGCACATTTTAATGCCCGTGAAGTGAGCTATCTGCTCCTTCAAGGACACAGTCCATATCGAACGAGGGCTCATAAAGCTCTCCATAAAGCTTCGCTGTATTGATCTGCGTCTTTTTGTTTTAAGTGTATCCTATCAGGGCACATGGAACCCCCCCCCCCAAAGAGGGAAGTAGCAGCCATTTCAGGGACATTCCAGGTTGGAAAAATGATATTGTGGGGAGGGAAGGATGAAGCCCTGTCTACCTGCACACCATGGTCCCAATCCAAACTGGGCCCACTTATGCCTGGTATTAAATTCCCAGCATAGAACTCACAATACATCTTTGACTGTGCAGATCAGGGAGGACCCGGAGAAAAACATAATGTCTCTTTAGGCTATTGGTTCAATAAAATTCCACAGAACGCACATTTTAATGCCCGTGAAGTGAGCTATCTGCTCCTTCAAGGACACAGTCCATATCGAACGAGGGCTCATAAAGCTCTCCATAAAGCTTCGCTGTATTGATCTGCGTCTTTTTGTTTTAAATGGAATGCTTGATGCCTTTTGCTTTATGTGCCTCATTCCTAATTGCTCTCATATTAAGGATCTTGCTCTAACTTCCAGGAACAGAGTGGTATGATGCACCAGTTCCGGGAATGGTATTAGCATCACCCATCCTATATAGGGGTAGTGACCAAAACAACAGGCTAGAAGCAGCATGTGGCCCATCCCTCTTAGACCCCAAACACCTTGCTCTGCCCAAGTCCTGCAATGCCAGAAAGACTGTCTGGCAAGAGATGTCACCACAGGCTAGAAGTCTGTCACGATTTTATGTACCATGTACATACCATCATGTCACAACCAACTTATGGTGACCCTAGTAAGGGGCTTTTCAAGGCAAGTGAGGAGCAGAGGTGGTTTGCCATGGCCTTCCTCCGCAGAGCCTTCATTGGTGATCTCCCATCCAAGTACCGACCCTGCTTAGCTTCCGCGATCCGCCAAGATTAGGCCATACCATGCGGCCTTCCCTTCCCCTATGATGCTTTTAGGGGCTCTCAGTCTGACTGGGTGTGGTCTCCATCTAGCGGAAGGGTAAGAGGAAAAGGATCTAAGCAAATATGACATTAAAATGGTTCCAGGGAAAGTGAGGTTTGATTCAAGAATGGGGCAGCTAGCAAGCATGGAGCGCATGGGTCATGCTGGTACAGTGTTTCATGCCAGGCTGGACTTGGATGGGTGGAGAAGTCCTGGCAGTGGGCACAGCAAAGAGGACGACATCATGAACCAACATTCAAAGCTGCTGCAAGACACAGAGACAGTGCAAAATGGGGGAGGGGGAAGAAGCTCCCCACCCGCAGAGGAACAAGTGTAAAGAGGGAGGGGGTAGGGCTGAACTCACCAGCTACCTGACCCCGGCCCACGCCGCTCCTGCCCCCCAACCCCACCCCCGGTCCCTGAAGTTCTTCACTCTGCTTGTCTGACAATCTGACTCTTTTCCCTCCACTAACCTGTTTGTGAACTTTTGTAAGCTGTTCCAGGTTGTTCTCAAGAAAGGAAATCTTCTGTTTCTGGGAATGAGCCCCCCCGCTATCCTCGGGTTCCAACTCCGCGCTCTGGAAAGGAAGTACAGAAACTTTTATGTCCGGAAAGGAGACGCCAAGGAGTGAAGGCATGTACCCAGGAGGCTGCGGGCTCACAGCAAGGGCCTAACTTCTATCGGTGAGCAATGAAACCGTTGAGTGTCTTCCTTGATTCGGGCTACCCAAACCTAACAAGGAGGCTTCTGCTTGGTTAAGACATAACATGAAACCCTGGTTTGTTTTCAATATGCTCAGTTAGGAGGAATCACGGCTTTTTTGGGATGGTACTCACCAGTACTGAGAAAGGGCTCTCCCAAGTCCTGAGGGGGGAATTGATGAAAGTCGATGCAATCTTAGATATGAATATCAGGACTTTTTTTTTTACAAAAAAAGCACTGGGAGGGACCTATATGAATCAGGGCCGCATGATGGTGGAAGGGGAGAGAGAATTCCCGCCCCCAACACACACCTCTACATAGTTTCCCTAGTTGATTTGGGGAAGGGGGCAATATGGATCATAGCTGTGGCACGGTGGAAGAACAGGTACCTCCCCCTGCCATGCATCATTTCCCCAAAATGAGGACCCAGGGGCATTAGATTGGGGGGGGGGGAGTCTCCCTCTTTTTGACTGTCTTGTTTTCTGTTGTGTCCGCTGACCGCCACCAGAGGTCAGCGAACACTCCAGAGCTTGGATCTGGAGTAACAATGGGGACTAGGCTCCTGGTCTCTCCACTGGGGGACCAATGGGACCGTGGCGGGAGATTTAAACCCACCAACGGGACCTAGGGGTGTGTCCCCAGGTATGTATATAGTTGGCCAGCCGGCCCTTTGTCTTTGTCTTTTGTTGTGTACCAGTAAACCATGCTGAGCACTACATCGGTCTCAGTGGTTTCTCCATGCGTTTAAAACACTACACTTCATTTCCACAACCAAGTGGAAAGACAGAAGTTATGATTCGGAAAGCAGTGCGGGAACCACAGCTCCAATCCAAATCAGAACGCTTGTGGCTATTTTTAAAGTCAGACTAGTATCCATTAACGGATCTCCAATGTAACATGTAGCTTGGCCCTTATAAGAAACAAGAGTTGTGGACTAGAAAGCCACCCAAGGTCAAACCTTTCCACTATTGTAGATTTACTAGGGGGATAGACCATCAATCCTGAAGCTCAGCGTCTCTCACCCTCATCAGCAACACAGGGATAATTCTCTTGACCTAACGTTGCTGTTATAAGGGTTACAGAGATAATACAAGTGACATGGTTTGACTATTCTGAAGTGCTATTCAGAGGCTAATTACTGTCACTGCAAATTGGGAGCCTATGAGGATTTGTGGGTCAGGGACAATTTGGAAATCCAACTCCACCCTGCAAAACCTCCCCTGCCAGGATTCTATAAACTCTCGGGGTCTTGAGCAGGCTAATTTCCCAACCCCTCTTCCCCCCCCCCCATGATCTGACTCTTAGCTGTTCTTAACATTCCATCTTCTGCTGGAGCATATTTAGTCCTCAACAGACCAGAGTCCACTACCGTATTTGCTAGTGGCCTGGTTTTGCAGCTTTTGTCATTCACACCGGGGAGGGGGCGGGGGCAGGGGCTGGGGAGCAGTCAGTTTACAATTAGATCCAGTAGTTATTATTGGGGGCTCAGGAATTTAGAGAAGCACCTACTTTCTTAACTCGAGTCGTGACGTCTTGAACGAACAGCTTGCGAAGGTTGTGGAGGGTCTGGAGTTCACGGGCCTGGAGGGAGCGCAAAAAGAAAGGCCCGGATGAGACAAGATCACTGTGACCTTTAGCCTCTCCTCTGTCAAGGGCATCTTAGATACTTACCACAGTCTCCTCCAGCCCTTTGAGGTCCTGCTTGGACTGCTCATGCCGCTCGTACAGAAATCTGAGAAGCAGAAAGGTGAGAGTGGTCAAGACTGGGAGAAGGGGTGAATATGTCCAGGGCCAACATTCATGTTATGTTTGATATGTGTCAGGAAGACCCGGGGGCCTGATCCAAGAGAGAGAGATTCGGGACAGACAAAATAAAGTATTTCTTCACACACTGCATAATTTGTTGGCAGGGCTGCCAGGTCTTACCTTCATCCTGGTGGGGGGGCTCCAGGCCAGCTCTGGGAATCTTCTGGTGTGCGCACCATGATGACATCACCTGGAAGTGACATCATCACGCCGGGCACATTGTTTGGGGGACACTCCAGTATTCAGGTAAAACCTCTATGGTCACCATTGGGTAACTCTGTGGTTACCCGAATGCTAGAGAGTCCCCCGAACAACGTGCCCCATGTGATGATGTCACTTCCGGGTGACATCATCGCACCTGGCACGTCAGGCTCACCGGGACTCTTCCGGGGCAGGGCTCCCCTGCTAGCCAGCTGGCCGGCAGTGGATTCGGGCCCCAGAACCCCTGCCCCCATTGGGGATTGGCAACCCTGTCTGTTGGATTCGTTGCCACAGGACGCTGTCACGAGCACCAACTTATAAGACTTTAGAAGAGGAGTGGACACATACTAATCATGATGGATGGATATCTACTTCCTCCAGTACCAGAGGTGGTATGCCTCTTTAAATCAGTTGCTGGAGAGCACAGGAAGGATACTGCTATTGCAGTTTTGTCTTCCTGTTTGTGAACTTCCTAGAGGAACTGGTTGGCCAAGAGGTTTGGGAAATACCTGTGAGAAATTGGGGGTGGACCCCAAGAAGAGAGGAGTTTGGGGAGGGGTGGGACCTCAATGTAGTAGTATATTGCTATGGAATCTGCCTTCCAGGGCAGCCATTTTCCCCAGGGGGATTGATCTGCGTCACCTGGAGACCACTTAATTCCAGGCGGTTTCCAGGTCCCACCTGGAGGCTGGCAACCCTTTTGGCCACTTTGTGAACAGAATGCTGGACTTGATGGGCCTTTGGTCTGGTCCAGCATGGCTCCTATGTACTTAATTCGTAGTCAAACATTAGAGCAGAACAGGAGTTTGGGGAGGGGTGGGACCTCAATGCAGTAATATATTGCTATGGAATCTGCCTTCCAGAGCGGCCATTTTCCCAGGGGGATTGATCTGCGTCACCTGGAAACCAATTAATTCCAGGCGGTCTCCAGGTCCCACCTGGAGGCTGGCAACCCTGTTGGCCACTGTGTGAACTGAATGCTGGACTTGATGGGCCTTTGGTCTGATCCAGCATGGCTCCTATGTTCTTAATTCGTAGTCAAACATTAGAGCAATACTAACCTTTAAAAACCTCTTAAAATGTCTTCATTGTCCCTCACAGCTCTGAAAGCTGAGAAGGAGAAGCAGGAGCTTTGTGTTTCCAGCCTGAGCTGTTTTCACCAGTGGAAATGTCCTCCATGGAGGGCTATTTGTCCTTTCCTCTGCTGTTCTTTCCCAGGGTATGTGGAGCCAGAGGAAGGGGAAACAGCCCCTCCCCTCCGCACAAAGCCATTTCCACTGGTAAAAATAGCATGTGAAAGAAGTATGAATCTCCTCCTTCCCTCTCACAGTGTTTGGAGCAGTGCAGAGTGATGAAAAGGTTAGTCCCCCTTTAATGTTTGACTATGAGTCAAGGCCAGGCAGGGACAGTTTGGTGTAGTGGTTAGGAGCGTGGGACTCTAATCTGGGAGAACCGGGTGTGATTCCCCACTCCTGCACATGCAGCTGCTGGTGTGACCCTGGGTCAGTTACAAGTTCTTTCAGAGCTGTTCTCTCACGAGCAGTTCTCTCAGAGCTCTCTCAGCCCGGCCTACCTCACAGGGTGTCTGTTGTGGGAGGGAAAGGGATTGTAAACCACGCTGAGACTCCTTCGGGTAGTGAAGGGTGGGGTATAAATCCAATCTCCTTCTCCATCTCTGTCATGACACATGTCAAATGTAGCATGTATTATGGCCTCAGTCACACTTTATTTGAAATAGCTAAGAATTGCAACTTCTTTGAGGTTAGGCCCGTTGTGGGGTATCTATTAAACTTTTCTCCACCCTGACGGAAGTTCTAAGGAACTCAGGGCTCCATACGCAAGGATATCCCTTGACAATTTTTTATCCTCACAACGATCCTGTGAGGCAGGCTAAGCCAGGGAGAGATTGGAACCCAGGCTTGCCACCAAGTATACACTCCACAGGGAGTTGCAGCCAAGTCGGGATCTATGATGAGTGTTGTTGTATAAACACACACATTTCCAATCATGTGGGTGTCTCATTCACATACCACCCTTTTCAGGTGTGTGCTTAAAAATAAATCTGAAAGTCTACAACTTTGCAAAACAATCCTCAGACAGTGGCATTGGCGAGCTACATGCAGAAGCCCATTCCCAGATGTGACTCCCGCCTCTTGTGATTTTCCCCAGAGCACCACCCGGCTAAAAGCGGGGCTGGGGAAGGAAAGGGAAGGAAAGGGGGTCTCTCACGTCAGCTCCTGCAGCTTCTGGGACTTCTCCAGCTCCTCGCTCTTGAGCTTCTCATAGTCGGCCCGAAGCTTCTCCAGCTCCAGCTCTAACTTCTGGTTCAAGCTGCGCAGGGATAGAATACGGAGAGACAGAGATGCTAACATAGAGATGGAAAACATGCCAACTGCCCGCCAGCCTTCCTCACCAGCTTTAGACCTGAGTGTAAGATTGACACGGGAAGCAAACATCAGTGTTCAAGACAGGACAACCAAAAAGCCATGCCCCCACGGCGCTTGAGAGATCTCTCCCCCGCATCCAGGGATATCGGCCTGGGTCCTAAGCGTTGCTTCCGTCTGCACCCCGCCCCCCCTTTGTCCCTCGCAGAGGAGGCCCTCTGTTGCGAAGCTTCCCGGCTCACTGAAAATCATTGATCTCGCATAATCAAAACCTTCTGTGCTCCGTAACAGAGGACTGCCCCTGCATTGCAAAAAAAAAGAAAGACGAAGCCAGGCTCAGGATGCAAACCAATGTCTCTAGGAAGCTGTCCGACACATACTCAGCACTCCCGGGACTACCAGCGGCCAGTTGTGAACACAGGCTCCTTTCCGGCAGTGTTTTAAACTGGATTAGCCATTCTGGTTTCCTCTAGGAAACTATGGGGAATGGAGGGGGGGGGTTGTTTTTGTGGACCCCAGCACCCTCGAGAGATCCCCAATCTCCAGGACAGTGAAATTAGTTTATGTTTGCAGTATACGTATGTCCTGACCTGTGGGAGAGGAGAAGGAAAGGAAGGGAAGGGAAGGGAAATGGAAAAGCGTTGCATTCGCAGCACAGAAATCACACAGGCCATAGAACGTGCAAAGACATGCCACACAAGGCCTGATCAGTCGAAGACAAAGGATCACCTCCAGGAGTGGCTGGGCCCCTTTGACTTACCAGGAATGTTCCCTGTGGGTTGCTGCCCCCGGGGGTGCCACTGGTGAACTAGAGCAGTGACAATGGGCATCAGCTCACACACCGTCCCCTTCCACACCGCCACCAACCGGGTTCCCGCGGAGAAGCCGTAGCTTCGACTTGGCAGCACAGGTGGAGTGATGTGCAAGGTGATGTGTCTGAGCTGAGCGTTCCCAGTGGCTTTGGGAGCACCCGGGGATGCTCCTGGGCTGCATCAGCTTGCCAGTCTGCTTGTCTCCCACATAATACAACAGTCGTTGAGCCACAGGGGCTCGTCGTTTGCCCAGGAGTAGCTCTGGCTTCACTTCTAGCCTCACCGTTGCTTCCTGGTTCTCACTCCAACTTAGCAGCATGACTGGAGTTGGCCTCTCCTTCTCACGTAAGCCCTGGCTCTCCAGCCTCGCCTCAAAGCTCATCTGCAATGGCGTCGTGCCCACGGGTCAAGGAAACCACTGCCAGTAAAGCCCAGCCTCCCAAATACCCAACATGCAAGACACGGGCCTGCCCGGGTGGTGAGTCTCATCCCACGCATGGAAGTGACTTGGCCCGCCCTCTGGATGACTCACTCCTTCAGCTCATCAATGATTTTCTGCTTCTGGTTGATCTCGTCTCGCAGCCGCGCCAGCTGCTTGTGGTGGGCCTCGCGGTGACTCTCCAGTTGTACTTCCAGGGCCTTCTGCTGGGACAAGGATGAACATAAGGACGTAAGTGAAGCCATGTTGGATCAGGCCAACGGCCCATCCAATCCAACACTCTGTGTCACACAGTGGCCAAAACCCAGGTGGCATCAGGAGGTCCACCAGTGGGGCGAGAGCTCCAGAAGCCCTCCCACTGCTGCCCCCCAAGCACCAAGAATCCAGAGCATCACTGCCCCAGGATGAAGCAGAGTACATGGTTTGCATGCAGAAGGTCCACCAGCATCTTTGCCTAAGAAAGGATTTCAATTGTTTGGCTGGGGAAGGCCTTGGTCTGAGACCCTGGAGAGCCACTACCAGTTGGAGTAGGCACTCCTGGGCCACGTGGACCAACAGTCTGTCCTGAGGCAGCTTCCTATATTCATATATCACATGGATCCTCTCCACCTGCTGCACCTAAGTTCCCTTCAAGAGCTCTACATATTTATCTCCCCAACACCACCGTTTTGTTGGTTCTCCTCCCAGGGCTCCATGATATTACCCCTAGGAGAGGGGTTCTCATCCCTGCTGAGCTTGTGGGCAGTTCTGGGAGCCTGAGAAAGGGCAGTGGGTTGGCTGCCATGGAAGGTGATAGTGTCATACAATGGTTGCCATGGCGGTGAGGAACTACAACACGCTGGGAGGGTTCCGAGCC